AATAAATTATTACTATAATTTGGTTCAAACCAGATACTATAGTAACCAAACCAAAATATTCCAATTACAATTTATAATCAAAACGCGATATTTAGAGTTTATTAAAATCGCGAACTGGAATGGCTGGTTCATGTTCCGAACTGAAAAAATAAAATACATTTATTGTTGAATTTAAACTATTTTAAAATAAAAAATAAAATTTTAAAATATAGGCAGTTCAAAATCGCGAACGGGATCCGGAACCGCCGGTTCATGATCCAATTTTTTTTATTCTTAAATTTAATAAATTGAAATCCAAATATTGGGTTCTAGATCTGAATCATAACTGAAAAGTTTTAATTCGATTGCTATAGTGTCTGGTTCAGTTCGAACCGAACCGTGGTAATAGCTACATATACGCAATAATTTGTTGGAGAAGTAAAATAAATAAAATGTTTACTTTAAGGGTAGAAATGTCAATTTAATATATTAGGGGGGAAAACCACCACTTTTAAAATAATTGAGGGGGCTAATGTGCTTACATAAATAATTGAGAGGGAAAAAGTGCTATAAGTATATAACATAGGGGGAAAAAGTGCCATTTTCCCTAATGAATATGAAGAAACAAAAAGAAAAATATGAAAGGACAAAAACTCTATTACCAAAAATAGAAAAAGTAGTCCAAAATTAATAGTCTGGAACTAAATTTGAAATTACCACCGAAGACAGTGGACCTCTAAGGGAATTAACTCTAATATAAATCTTGTCTTAAGTTGATACCATAGCTAAGTTCAAACGAATAAAACTAAGGAGAAATTGTAATTTATCCATCTCACAAATATGTCAATTATCATTGTCACTCCTGAATTATTAGTGGTATAAATGTTATCCCTCAATTTTAAAACGTGACATATATTGCCCATCCTCTAATAGGAATAATGAAAAACATTGTTATCGGGGTAAGGAGAACAAATGAAGAAAGAAAAATGGAGGAAAATTGTGGTCTTCGAACAAGGAAGATGACGAGTAACTACATGTACATCACTAATAATTTAGGAGGGGCAATATAAGTAACGTTTTAAAAATTAAGAGACAAAATTTACATCACTAATAATTTAGATTGACATTGATAATTGACATATTTGTAAGGAGCATAACTTTCCTTTTTTCCAAAACTAATCATTTTTTCATTGAAGTTTGGCATTTGATCTAATAACTAAATATTAACTCCATTCAATTCGTTTCTCATTGAAATTCAACTTTTGATCTAATACTTAACTAACATAAAATTGCATACATTGTGAATTGCTATAGGATAATTCTATTTGCACCACTCAGTTTGTTATTTACACCATCTATTTAATAGGTATAATAACTTTATAGGTGATGCAAATAGAAAAGTCTACTATCATTAAATGTGATCAAATATTAATATTTATTATTCATTTTTTTAACCATCCAAATATTAATTTTTTAAAAAAATAAAAGATGAACCCATCACCTTCTCCGGTGGGAAGGCGACGGACTGCCTTCTCCGGTGAGAAGGCGACCCACTGTGCTGCCTTCTCACCGGAGAAGGCAGCCCAATTTCTTTCTTAAAAAAATAAAAAAAAATAAAAATAAAAAAAAAAACCGTCACCTTCTCCCATGAGAGGGCGAGTGGCTGCCTTCTCACCGGAGAAGGCAGCCCAGTTGCCTTCTCCGGTGAGTGTCTTCTCACCGGAGAAGATGATGTTTAGTTTTTAGTTTTTTCTTTTTTAATGTTTTAATTAATTAAATTTTGAATTAACAAATTATTAATTGCAAGTTTGACCAAATGGTGCAAATAACAAAATGTACCCCCATTTGACTATTTACACCACCTATTAATTAATAAAAAATTTCACCTTTTTCCACTTTCAAGATACTTTATACCCACTTTTGATCAAAGGGTGGTGTAAATAGCAACACCCTTGCTATAATATGTCAAACATATAAATATTTTGAAATATACTAAAAAAAAAATACAATACTAATTTTTGCATGAATTCACAGAAACTACTACAACCATACTGGCTTTCAAATCACACCACCCTCACCCCCACTCCCACCCAACAAAGTTGTTTTCATGACAAAAATGATAGTTAAATGTGGCCAAAATAATGATAAGTTTATTCACATGAGGTGTATATTTGCAAGTTACAAACGTAGACAAACTTTTTCCCCCCTTTGAATAGGCCAAACCTAAAGAATCAAAGAAATGATGGTTCACAGGTAAGAAGTACTGGACAGTGGACACCCAAAAAAAATGTTTAAATAAAAATAAAAAAGTTGAACATTTTGTACTAGAAAGGTGGGAAAGAAATTTAAACCCTAATGCCACTCTCATAGTGCGCTCCAACGTTCGGATGGGGGGTTTAGAATCCTCGTGAGTGTGAGCCTATCAAACGGTCAAAAAATGCGCATGTGAACCCATTTAAAATTTACTGCTTTCACTGTGATTTTCTTGAAATTGAACTTTTTACCCCCCAATTAAAAAAATCCCTATAAATGAGGGGAACATTGCTCAGATTTTCAGACCAAATCATTTTTTCTTCTCCCATCATTATACCTTCCTGTCTAAGTGAGTGAATAAAGAATAAAGGGTTATGCCTCCTTTTCAAATCTTTTCTTTGCCACCATATTTTATATCCACTCATAGAACACAGCTTTATTTTTGTTAGTTTAAGTTTCAAATTAAAAATAGATCAAAACCCAAAGCCCAAATCCATCCCAAAATGAGGATTCTGAAGTGGGGTTTCAAGTTTTTTCTCATTCTCACCTTCTTTGATCAGCTCTCAGGTTGTGCAGAAGGAGATAGAGTGGCTCTTCTGGGGTTCAAGGCCAGGATAGTGAAGGACACTACTGATCTGTTATCTTCTTGGAGAGGCAGAGATTGCTGTGGAGGTGGGTGGGAAGGGATCGAATGCGATCCGGCAACCGGGAGAGTCACCAGGCTCATACTGCAGAGGCCTTCAGAGAGGGATCCCACCATTTACATGAAGGGCACCCTGTCCCCAACGCTAGGGAGCCTGCATTCCTTGGAGACCATGATTATAAGTGGGATGAAACGCATTGCAGGGACAATCCCAGAGACCCTCTCCAATCTCACCAATCTGGAGCAGCTTATCTTGGATGATAATTCTCTGCAAGGGACTATCCCTTCAAGTTTGGGTCACTTGCCTTCTCTTCAGGCACTTTCTTTGAGCAGTAACCGGTTATCCGGCCAAATCCCGGCTGCCTTGGGTAACTTGAGAAACCTTCAACAGCTCAGTCTGGGTGGCAATGCTCTCACAGGGGCTATCCCAGTTTTTGCCTTCTCCACTTTACAGTCCTTTGATCTCAGCCACAATCTGTTATCAGGGTTTATCCCAGACTTTATAGGTCAGCTTCACAACTTAACATACCTTGATCTCTCTAACAATCAACTTTCTGGGCAGCTCCCAATTTCCTTGACCAATTTGAACAAACTTTCCTTCCTTTCACTTGAGCACAATCAGCTAAGCGGGAGGATCCCGCCGCAGATTGGCAAGTTGAAGTCACTCACCGGGCTGTCGTTGAGCTTTAACCGCTTCACGGGGCAAATCCCAGAGTCCATTGCAGCTCTGCCAAACTTATGGAACCTTAGTTTATCCAAAAACATGCTTTCCAACCCTTTACCTGCTTCCTTCTCCAAACCCGGTGGCCTTCCTTCTCTGCTGTCAATAGATCTTTCCTATAACAACTTCAATTTAGGGAGTGTGCCAGAATGGATCAGAAACAGACAACTTTCTGATGTGAATTTAGCTGGGTGTAAGCTTCAGGGGATTCTTCCAAATTTCACCAGACCTGATTCCTTCAACTCCATAGACCTATCAGACAATGCCTTTACAGGTGGGCTATCAAATTTCTTTGAAAGAATGTCCAGCCTGCAAAAAGTCAAGATATCCAACAACCAATTAAAAGGTGATGTTGCAGGAATCAGTATACCTGATGCTATTTCATCTCTTGATCTTCATGCAAACCAGCTCTCTGGATCCCTCTCAGGGATACTAAGCAACAAGACAAGCAAATTCTTGGAGTACATTGACCTCTCGACAAATCACATTTCAGGAAACATTCCGGAGTTTGCTGTTGGGTTGAATTTGAGAGTGCTCAACGTGGCGAATAACAAGATCATAGGCCATATCCCGGATGCAGTCTCTAACCTGGAAAAACTAGAGAGGTTGGACATAAGGAGGAACCAAATTACAGGCACAATCCCTACAAGTTTTGGGCAACTACTCAAGCTGCAATGGTTAGACTTGTCCATCAATGCCATCACAGGAAAAATCCCAGACAGCTTGCTTGGGATTGAAACACTTAAACACGCAAACTTCAGGGCAAACAGATTATGTGGAGAGATCCCACAAGGAAGACCATACAACATCTTCCCTCCTGCAGCTTATGCTCATAACCTTTGTTTGTGTGGCAAGCCATTGCCACCCTGTCGGGGAAAGAAACCGGAGAAGATGGGCCAGTGAAAGCTGACTTGATCTATAGGAGGAAGGTTTTGCTCACTTGCCAAATGAGCAAATAAGTTTCTTTTCATGTAAAGAAGGCAATAGCCTTACAGGTCTCTTATCCCTTTAACAGCCCTGAGATACACTTCTTTTTCCATTAGCTTACTTGTACACCATTATATCCCACATATCAGCAATTTTTCATTGGCTTCAATGAAGAAATTTCATTTACAAAGACTTGTAGTATCAATTGTTAGTGGAGCAATAAGCATTTTCATTTTTCACACCTCAGGATTTATGATCAACACCAGTGAAGAATTTCACTTTTTAAAAAAAAAATAAAAAATACCCATTGCAATTTTTTATTTTATTTTTTTTTTTTTTGGGGAGGGGGGGGGGGGGGGGTGGTGGTGGTGTTGGTGGGTGGTGGTGGTTAATGGGTACAAAATGAAACTTAAAAAGGTCATGCCTCATTATGGTTTCTGTTATTAGTGAGGGTGACCATTAATCAATTCCATAATGTATAACAAACATTTCAAAAGTTAAGAACTTGATAGAACATATACATTAATGGCAAAATTCAAAACAAAGTGCATGCTTCACTACTTGAATTTCCCTTAAGCATAGTTGACTAACAGATCATTTACAGAATTTCAAAACTAGTCATCATGTAGGTAACAGAACTACAAAAACAATGGCAAATTAAAGCTCCTACTCATCATCTAATTCATTCACCTCCTGGACCTCCTCCTTCACTTCCTTCTCTGACTCATCTCCATCCTATAGACAAATAGATCAAGTGACAATGTTATTAACAATGATAATTGAGGGTATAAGAATAATGGAGTTTGAGGGAAAAGTAGGCAGGGAACATACATCTTCATTCTCAGTAGCATTATTGGATTCCAAAGCCTTCTCATATTCTGCCTTGCGTTCTGCAGCCCTATCAATATAAAGCTTCTTCTCCTGCTCAAAGCATTGGGATTACAAGAATCAGGAACCCAATTCATATTGTGGAAAAGTAAAAGATAGCAAATAATGTCAACACCATACTCACTTCATCTGTTAGGGACTTCCACTTCTCACCACCCTCCTTAGCAACCTAAAGTTATAAATGCAGAAATAATACATCAAACAAAGACCAAACATGTAAATTGCTCTTCAAGACTATCCATAACTTCAACACACTTGGACATTAGAGCATACCGTAGCAACACTCTTGATGTCAGGATTTTCCTCCTTGAAAGTCTTCCTAAACTCTTCCCTAAAACATTGATTAAGTTGTCATTTTCAGAAGCAAAGCTTTGTTATATCAGTTTGTATAAGCCAATGAGACATTATGGAATAGACTAGTACATGAAAACAAAGAATGCAGTGGGAGGGCGCTTTGGTGCATTGGGATCCTTAGCCTTCTTTTCCTTCTTGGCTTTTGGTTCAGTAGATCTTGCCTTTTTCCTGCATTGCACACATGTATTAAAACAAGACAAACAATGAATCCAATAGAACCTAAAACTAATGTAACATGGAGCTTAACATAAGCAATTTGAGAGTAAAATTACTTTTCAGTTGGCTTTTTCTTGGGCTCAGCTGGCTTCTCTATAATCTGTGCTTCTGCAAGACATCAACTCTTTTTACATTAGAGACCTTAATTAAACCATTCAACTGTTATCTAGACTTCTTTTTAGTGATCATAGTTAACATCAATAAAGAGTGAGAAGTGATGAAGGGCATGTAGGTTTTTACCCAAATTCATCTTGATCTTGGCATCTAGGCTACAATTGTGAAAACTAATCAAAGCCACCGGTACATCTTTGTTGCATTCATCACTGCTCAAAACACATTCATCATTAAACTCCAATCAACACCCACACAACTCATATCCTAGGCCCAGATACTATGACAAACAATACGCAGCAAAGAGAATTTGCAAAAATACTTTTTTTTTAAAGAAAGCAAAAAGGCAGTATTCTTTGATTTCTTTCCCAAATTCTACTTAACACATAACCTATTACCAACAAATCAAGTAATACAACATAAGTGCTTACAAACCCACACATACAATTACTACTCTTCTAGACATAAAAATATCACACAAGAAAACAGGGAAAAAACAAATCCAACCCAAATCCTGAACAGTTGAACTCTATAATACACTGTTCCTTCTATATCAAAGAGTACGCTCATTCAGCAGAAACTTAAAAGCGATAATAAAGAAATCCATTGTTCAAACATAAGTTTATCATCAATAACAGAGAGAATGGTGTACAAGCATGCATACCAACGAGCGAAAGCACTGCCGTCCTTGGCGCGCTTGAGGCTGGCGTTTATCTGCGAGGATTCATTGGAATCAACCTCCACCCTCTTCCTCACTCTGGGTGCGTTCGAAGACTTACCGGATGCTCCGCCACCAGCCATTCTACGACGACACTAGTAGTAGTAGTAGCAGCCGCAGATACTCAATTAACTTAGCAATCCAATATGCAGAAATGACGAGATGTTGGAGAGGGAGGGTTTTAGTGGGTTAAGAAGGGAAAGGGGAAGGGGAAAGAGGGAAAATTGAAATTGAAAATGAAGCCCCGCGCTCGCGCTACTTTCAGAAGGAAAATTTGAGAACCCGCCCCGGGTCGGTCATCGCACAATTTGCTCGGATCGATGACTTGGAACTCTGCGATCTATCATCGCCGTTGGATTGAGATGATGTCCTCCCTCTCTTTCAACGGTTTAAGATGTGTTTGTCTTTCGTCTTCCGAATTTAAGTAATCTCGTCGTTTCATCACAAAAAAAATTAGATGATGGGCCGGTTCATTGCAACTGGCCCACTGCAACAATGGCGGCAAATTATTGTATGAACCATGATCCACACAGTGTTATGTGGACCATAATAAAAAGTACATTATTTTTATACTGAGTGTACATTATACAATATAATGTATACTCAGTACAAAAATAATGTACATTCCCTGAATACAATGTATATTATTTTTGTGCTAAATATACATTATTTTTGTACGGAATGTACATTATTTTATAGTATACAAAATATAGTCCACACAACTTATATGGACCATGGTCCACACAATAATGATTGAACAATGGCGTGTGGTTATATCGTGGACCGCGGTGCACGGTTAAAACGGTGTGTTGTTATTGTTAACGGAGTGTGTATTTTTTTTTGTGTTAATTGTCAATTGAAACTACAGTGTATCTAAATTGACATTACAATGTATCTAAATCGACATTGTCTCACGTATTATTTTATATATTATCAAATGAAACTGCATTTATATCAAAATGATGGTGTAGTTGTGGTGAAATGAAATTACGGTGTATATAAAATGAAACTGAATAACATTTCACATATTTGAGTGTATATTGTGCAATGAAGTTGTAGTTATATCAAAATGATCATGTAGTTGTGTTTTAATGAAACTATATTATATATATAATAAAATTAAATAACATTTTCACATATTTGAGTGTATAAATGTCGAATGAAATTGTACTTATATCGAAATGAAATTGTAGATGTGTTGAACTGAAACTACAGTGTATACAAAATGAAACTGAATAACTGAGTTACTTTTTGTGGAATGACGCAGAACGGCACGAAAAGGGCGCTGTTTCTTTTCATTAAACAAAACGACGTCGTTTTAAAGCGCGGTGCACAATATAATTTGCCAACAATGGCGGAGCGGTATGCTGTGCAACCGTGTGTACCATGCAAGGTGCACACGAAATTGGATCCATAATTTTTATACTATAGATTCATAATTTTTATACTATAGATTCATAATTTCTATGCTATATATTCATAATTTCTATACTATAGATCCATAATTTATATACTATAGATTCATAATTTTTATATTATAGATTCATAATTTATAAACTGTATAATTATCAAATTATGAACATATAATTATGTGATTTGTGAATATAGAGTTCAACAATTGGGAATATGACATTGAAAATTATGAACATAGAGTTTTGTAATTGTGAATATAGAGTTCAATAATTATAAATCTATAGTATAGAAATTATGAATCTATAGTATAGAAATATGGATCCAATTTCGTGTGCATCATGCATGGTGCACACAGTTGCACAGCATAATTTGCCAACAATGGCAGCAAATTATGGCAAATTATGATGTGAGCACATGCCCACCTTGCAAGGTGGGCACGATTCCATATCAATAATTTTTATAGTATAGATTCACAATTTCTATACTGTAGATCCATAATTTCTAGACTTTCGGTGGGAGCTAAAATGTATACTTTAGATTACAATTCTTGAACCCTGTTTTCACAAATCAGTGCAGTATAGAAATTATGAATCTAGTGTATTTTTTAAATTATGAATCATACAAGTTTAGAAATTATGAATCTGAAGTATAAATTTTATGAATCTATAGTATAGAAATTATGAATTTACAGTATAGAAATTATGGATATGGAATTGTGCCCACCTTGCAAAGCGGTCGCGTGCTCATAGCATAACGATTGGCAAATTATTGTGTGGACCACGATCCAAAAATCGTAATGAATATTATGAGTAAAATAATGTACATTATGAGTTATAAAAATATATGTTGCAGTTGGGCGCAAAAAAAAAAAAAAAAAAGAATTAAGCAAAACGACGTCGTTTTTAGATTGTGGTCCACACAGTTGTGTGGACCACGGTCCATGCAATAACTATTGAACAATGGCCAACAGTTATACCATGAACTCGGGTCCACCTTGCAAGGTGGACCTAGGTGCAAAATACACAATTTACATATTGAATGTTTACAATTTGAATTGTGAACATTTAGTATGTAAATTGTGTATCTAAACTGTGAACATTTAGTATGTTAAATTATGAACATTCAGTATGCAAATTGTGTATTTTTGGACTCGGATCCACATTGCAAGGTGGACCTGGGTCTACAAAATAATTTGCTAACCGTGGCGGTAATTTATATCGTGGACAGGGTCCACATAGCATTATGGACTCTGATCAAAACGATTTCGTTTTTATATTTAAGCTTTGACAAATTTTGTAGTGTCTCGTTTGTCATGTTTCAACACAAATTTTAAGTTATTCTAGATACAGAATCAATACTTTTAATATATAAAATTTCATAACACGAGACACAAAAACTAACAACACAAGACACATACACATGTTATATATTTACTTATTATCAAATATGATTTATGTAGATAATTTATGTCATATAGACACCTAATTTCATAATACAATACATAAATTCGTAAAATAAGACACAATATGTTGTGTGTTACACAACGACTAATATATATCACGTACATAATTCATACGCTTAAGGTACAAAATTACATAACCTGAGACATAGAATCGAATAACATAGGACAGATACACATGTTTTATATTTACTTTAATTCAAGTACATAATCATTATTCGTAAGGTAATAATTGCATAACATAAGACACAAAATCGCATAACAAAAGACACAAAAAACGCATATCACAAGACACAAAAACGCATGTTATATTTACTTTATTTCAGGTACATAATCCATACACGTAAGGTACAGAATTGCATAATATGAGACATAGAAACTCATAATACAAGATACATACACATGCTTTACAGTAGTAAAAAACACACAGTAACATGAACTAAACCACAAACGGTCACCGTCAAAATTAAAATTTAAAATGACGTCATAAATGACTAGGTACTGTGGACCCTTGGTCCACGATATAACGATTGAACAATGGCTAATCATTATTGTGTGAAACATGATCCACGCAACTGTATGGATCATAAATAAAAAAAAAAAAGTACATTATTTGAGTACTAAAAGTACATTATTTTTTTATAATGTACATTCAGTATACAAATAATGTATTTTTTGTATATTAAAAAAATATTTTTTTATGGTCAACCCAACACTATGTGGACCACGGTTCACATAATAATTTGTGAACAATGGTTGAGTTCTAGTTTTTTGGACAACCGGTTGGGATGACAATTGTTATACGGTGGACCATGGTAAAAAAAAAAAAAAAAAAAAAAAAAAAAAAAAAAAAAAAAAACGTCATTTCTTTAAGTACAGAAATGACGACCGTTATATTTAACAACAATCGCGTATTTGTGATGTGCTCTAAATAAAATAAAAGTATATTGTATTTAAAATGAAACTAGATAATATGTCTCACATATTGAACATATAGTATCAAATGAAAATGTAGTTGAATTGAAATGATATTTTAGTTGTGCTGAAATGAAACTACAATACGTATAAAATGAAGCTGAATACATGTCTCACATATTGAGTGTATATTTGTTGAACTATTGGTGACGCCGCACCGCTGCACTTGAACCTTACTATAGAGGACTATGTGGACTAATTACGGGCACACGATAAATTAGTATTAGGCACACAACTTAATATAGAATGACACACAATAATACATGTAAACATCAAGTTTCGAACCCATGCCCTATTAATTAACAAACCTATGCACACGACATACAAATTATGATATATATATATATATATATATATATATATATATATATATATATATATATATATATATATATATATATATATATATATATATATATATAGTGTGTTCAATTGAGGACCATTATATTATAAAGGAGTGTTAGAACCGATATAGTCGTGTGCCATTAGTTTGTATGTAGTGTGCATGGTTGAATGTAGTCGTGTGTCATAACTTGTATGTCGTGTGCATAGGTTTGTTAATTAATAGGGCATAGGTTCGAAACATAATATTTACATGTATTATTGTGTGCCATTCTATATTAAGTTGTGTGCCTAATACTAACTAGTATTTGTCCCGTGCGATGCACGAAAAATATATTGTAAAAATATATGTTATATTATTATAATTATATATTATTAAAAATTATATCAAATGAGTATAGTATTACTATTATTTATTAGTTATAAAAAAATCTATTGTAATTTCATATATACATATATAAAGAATGTGGTTCATATATACTTTAAAGATAGAATTAACATTTGATCAATTTAATTTATAAAATAGTATTAACTACAAATGTAATAAGTACAACCAACTTTATAAAACTTATATAAAATCAATGAACTATAAGGTCCTACCTACAAATGTGTAATTTATTTAGCTATAGTATATTATTATAACAATTTAGTACATAATTATATTACAAATATCTTATGTATAAATACGTCAATCCACAGAATTAAAATCTGACCACACAATTAAATTGAATTGCTTAATAATTAAGCTGTTTTTTGGGCCTAAACTGGGCCTAAACATATATATAATTTTAATTTTATGGCCCAAAAGAAGCCCATAAGAATTGTGATACCCCGAAATTCAAATTCAATTAAGGGATTAATTGAGTAATTAATCCTATTTCAATTGGTAATCTAATTCCTAAAAATCCTGAAAATTCAATAGTCGGGGACTAGTAATTGACTAGTCAACCCCAAAGTCAAAGTTGTACCTTAAGCTTTGTAAGAAGTTCCCTTGTTCCCTTACACTTCCTTATGTTAGTAAGGGTATTCTTGACATTT